GGTGACAGTGAAGGGATAAGAGGTTTCAGTTGCGCACAATAAATAAGCTCTGGAGATCTGTACAACACAGCATAGTGGCTATCAGTTACTGTATCCTACACTTAAAATTTGCTAAGAGGGTAGATGCTATGTCACATGTCCCCACTACAGGTAGTAAGAGGGGCAGGAAGAAACTTCGGGGGGTCACGGAGATGTCTACAGCCTTGAGGGTGGTGATGGTTTCATAGGTTTATACTCTCATCCCCAAACTGATCGAGTTGTACACGTTAAATACGTACAGCTTTTTAACATTGATCATACCTCCACAAAGTGGTTTTAAAAACATAATATTGTTTTTTAAAACAACATATTGTTGAGGAATATCTATATGCGATTCAAAAAACCCTTTTCTAAAATGCATTGAAGTGATACAGATAAAAGTCAAAATAGGGAGGCAAAGAGTCACAGGACCGGACTTGAGAGTACCAGGTCAATTTGTTCTCCGGTAGGGCAGTGAGTGTACAGGTGTTTAATTAATTTGCACCATAATTTATCTATAACCACCACACATTCTTTTGTTTGTATCAAATACTACCACAATGTTTCAAAGGCATATGTGACACAGTCCTATACTAAGCACTGAGCATACTAATAAGATGTGTCAAATGAATTCAAATGTATGCCCTTAAGGAGCTGAAAATCTTATAAAAAGTTACTGTTATGTTCATAGCATTTGATTCTACTACTATCATTAAAAATATCAGAATATTTCATAGGCATATATTAAAATCTAACCTTATCAATATTATTCTCAGGTTTAGCTTAATACCAATGCTTTTCTAGAATGTCTAAATAGCAAATTTCTAAAACTACAAATGAAATTGGTCAGAAAGGATTGGGAATTAAGGTTCACCCATCAATATTTTCATCTCTGATGCCCATGGGTTTTCAATTGCTGCTTTGTATCTCAGTTAAGAAGAGTGAGCTCTTCTCTCTATCTGCTACCACTATACTTTCTGTATAAAGTATTTTCTACTCAAAAGGAACTCAGAGATTAGCATATTTTAAAATAATTACAAAATTACTGTCATTCTCATGCCTTAGCATAGTGGCAATTAGAAATGAATCCTTCTTAAACATATATGAAATAATGACCATTTTCAAAGGTCTAGAAATCAATGAGTAAGCATAAATTGAAAAAAAAAAGTAAATGAAATAGCATTCTAACGTCAACAACAATCAACGTATGTAAACCACTAGAATGTCAACTTCATTGACAGGGCAGAGTTACTCTTTTACCACTGTATCCCTGGCACCACCAGGAGACAATCCACAAATATTTGCTGAATAAAGTTTTCTTTTTACTTTAACAGGCCAGGAATTTCTTCTCATTCTAAATACCAACAACATACCAAGCAAGACACCAACAGAAACTACTTATCCTCACCATCTTGGGTACTGGAACCTTTCAACATGGAAGTGTGCAACAACTTCAACAGCAACTGGAGGCATCTGTCAGTTTTCAGCAAGGGCATGTAGGCATTTGTACCAAACTTCATAAGGGCATCCAGAAGAGGATCTAAGAATATCCTCAATATATTCTCTGCTCTCCGTTTTTCACTAGATATTAAAAGACATGCCCAAATCAACCATTTCAAAAGCATAAAGAAATTATTTCCCATCTATAATCTGGGGGAACTGGTTACCTAATGAATTCAATTAGACCAAGTTACTCTACGGATGACAGAAACTTCCAGCACCTGTAGGGGACTGATCTTCTGGGTCTGTGCTTTCTCGAGGGTAGCAATTCACTAGAGGAGAAAGCACAAGGAGAACCACTGTTCTCAACTCTAGGCACCAGTGGGAAGGAAATCCTATACCCAATTTATCTGTAAATTAAATTGCCGAAACTTTCCTTCCACACTACAAAAAACCAAACATACATTAGTCAAGAAAATAAGACATGTTTAAAAAAATACAAAAAACCCTAAGGACTTATGAAAAACTATTATAACCAACTTTAGTACTAAAAGTTTGTCTAGAAAAGAGATTTGATGTAAATCAAATTAACTGTATGCCACGCAGATATCCTACCTAATCTGTCCAATGAAGCTGCTTATTGCAGTAATTATCATCGTGTGAGAACTGATTTGCTCATACTCTCCCAAACATAAATGAGATTCTTTTATCTTCATCACCATTTTTTAAAAATGACTTACTTTACAAAGGGGTCAAATTCAGTAAATTTCTTTACCTAATCTTATGCTAGAATCTTACAACCTGTTCTTCTAATACTCTGACATAAAACCAGGCATTGTTTTATCATTGTTATATACCATTTATTTGTATAAAACACTTAAATTCACATTGCAAAGGAAAATAATGTCTGATAATAGAAATTTCAACCGTATTTACAAGCCTGAAAACACTGTGTTTACCGTTTTAATCCCATTTAACCAGTGCCCTTAAGAAAAGGAATAAAGCACCAGCTACCATTTGAATACTGCCCTTATGAACTTATAAAACCAGTGATTATTGCATATAGTTTTTTTAACTTCTAATATAACATTAAATTCTTAAAATCTATCAATCCAGAAGGACTAATATGTACTTATTCCTATTTATTTATTGTTAATTTTAAACATTTCTTTGATATATTGCCAATGTTTTAGTTCTCTCTTTTAATACCAATGATCAACTCTATACCAATCATTAAAAGTCTGAATACACATCATAAATCTGATCAGCCTTTTTTAAAAATAAGCTTTCTTTTTAATTGTAGAAATAATTACCCATATTGAGTCTTCATTCCTTCCACATCCACAGCCAGCAAGATCATCAGAGCAACTAGCTTGGCTTCGAACCAATCCGGCATCAAGCAGCTTTCTCCTGCTTAAATAACAACAGTTTAAGGTTTGCAAATCATCAACAAAATCCTGCAAAGATGATGCTTCAAAAACAAAGTTGCTAAGTGATTATGCCTCGTTAAATTATTAGAGAAACACAGTTGAGATGAAATGCAGTAGGAACACCCTACGTATGGCACGGCTCACCGTTTTACATGCATATTTAAATACAAACAAAAACAAGTCTCCGTCCGTGTGCCTGCTATATGCCATGCACTGACCTGGACGCTGCAGACACAGCAGTTCCTGTGCTCATGGAGTTTACAATACAGCATGGGAGAAAAGCACTAATCAAAAAGTAAACGAATGAATATAAAAGTTTAACTGCAGTGAGGGCTATAAAGAAGAGGTACGCTGCTATCAGAGCACAGACCAGGAAGATGTGCCCTTGTCTGGGCAGGAAGAGGACGTTTTCCTGAAGAAAGGACAACTGGGCTGAGTAGAACGGCTGAGAGGGAAAGAGATCAACCAAGGGAGACAAGAACTTTCCAGACAGCAGGAGGAGCACATCCAACGTCCTTTGGCAAGGGAGGGTATGTCATATCCCAGGAAATGGAAGAGTTCCCCTGTGTACGCTAAGTGAGGGGGAGCAGCAAAAGACAAAGTGGAATCAACAAACAGGGGAGAGACCAGGAAACTTTGTAGGTCATCCAGAGGATTTCTGTCCCTGTTCTAAAGGTAACAGGAAGCCATCGAAGGCTAAAGGGAATATATACAAAGAAGGGAGGAAAAATTTTTTTTTTTATTTCGGCATATTATGGGGGTACAGATTTTAAGGTTTCAATAAATGCCCATTTCCCCCCCTCCTCCCAAAAGTCTGAGTCTCCATCATGACCATCCCCCAGATGGTGCACATCTCACTCATTATGTATGTATATACCTGCCCCCCTCCCCCCTGCCTAATACCCTATTACTGTAGTACCTATGTGTCCACTTAGGTGCTACTCAGTTAATACCAGTTTGCTGGAGAATATATCTGGTGCTTATTTTTCCATTCTTGGGATACTTCACTTAGTAGTATGGGTTCCAGCTCTACCAGGAAAATATAAGATGTGCTATATCACCATTGTTTCTTAGAGCTGAATAGTACTCCATGGTATACATATACCACATTTTATTAATCCATTCTTGGATTGATGGGCACTTGGGCTATTTCCACAGCCTTGCAATTATGAATTGTGCTGCTATAAACATTCGAGTGCAGGTGTCCTTTTTGTGGAGTGTCATTGGATCTTTTGGGTAGATGCCCAGCAATGGGATTGCTGGATCAAATGGTAGATTCACTTGTATCGCTTTAAGGTATCTCCATATTGCTTTCCACAGAGGTTGAACTAGTTTGCAGTCCCACCAGCAGTGTAGGAGTGTTCCCCTCTCTCCGCAACCACGCCAGCATTTATTGTTTGGAGATTTTTTGATAAAGGCCATTCTCACTGGGGTTAAGTGATATCTCATTGTGGTTTTGATTTGCATTTCCCTGATGATTAGAGATGTTGAGCATTTTTTCATATGTTTGTTGGCCATTCTTCTGTCTTCTTTAGAAAAGTTTCTGTTCAAGTCCTTTGCCCACTTTTTAATGGGGTTATTTGATTTTTTCTTCCAGATTTTCGTGAGTTCTAAGTATATTCTAGTTATCAGTCCCTTATCGGATGCATAGGATGCAAAAATTTTCTCCCATTCTGTAGGTTGTCTGTTTACTTTCATGACTATTTCTTTGGCTGTGCAGAAGCTTTGTAGTTTGATCATGTCCCATTTATTTATTTTTGTTGCTGCTGTGATTGCCTTTGGGGACTTCTTCATAAACTCTTTGCCCAGGCCGATGTCTAGGAGAGTGTTTCCAACTTTTTCCTCTAGAGTTCTAATAGTTTCATACCTTAGGTTTAAGTCTGTTATCCAGCGTGAGTTGGTTTTTGTGAGAGGTGAAAGGTGTGGGTCCTGTTTTAGCCTTCTACAGGTGGCTATACAGTTTTCCCAGCACCATTCCCTTCACAATAGCAACAAAGAAATTAAAGTACCTAGGAATATACTTAACCAAGGACGTAAAAGACCTCTACAGGGAAAACTATGAAACACTGAGGGAGGAAATAGCAGAGGATGTAAACAGATGGAAATCCATACCATGCTCGTGGATCGGCAGACTCAATATCATCAAAATGTCTATACTACCCAAACTGATCTACAGATTCAATGCAATACCTATTAAAATCCCATCAGCATTCTTCACAGATATAGAAAAAATAATTTTACGCTTCGTATGGAACCAAAGAGGACCCCGAATATCAAGAGCAATTCTAGGCAACAAAAACAAAATGGGAGGCATTAATATGCCAGATATCAAACTATACTACAAAGCTGTAGTAATTAAATCAATATGGTATTGGCACAAAAAATAGGAATATTGACCAGTGGAACAGATGGGAGGAAAACTTTTTAAGAAGGAAATTCGTATTTTGAAAAGATTTCTCTAGGTGAAATGCGAAAAAGAGACTGTAGGAGAAGCAAGAATAGATGCGAGGTGATGAGGTAAGAGGCAATTGTAGTATTTCAGCTGAGATATGAGCACTTTCTCTAAAATGTAACCAGAAGGGGACAGAATGGATAAAGACACAAAGGCCATAGAGTCTCATACCTGTGTCTGACCCCAATCTATGTTTATTTTAGTAGGGACTAAATTTACTTACTGTTTTAGGCTAACAAAATACGCTTCCAAGTAACAGCACAGGAAATTTACTAGACAATAGATAAAATAAAACACAAAAGAGAAATGTTCCCAGAAGGATAAACTCATGGATTTTGGAAGGATAACTATACATATGATCACCTAAGATCTATTCCATGATAAGATCAGAGAAATCAGTAGATGAAAATGACTTGGCCTAAGACAAAGGAAGGAAACTTAACGTGTTAATTCAAAGATGTCATTTCCCCAAATTATCACTAATGACTTTAATGAAGTGGGAGCATTAGAAATTTAAAAAGAATCCTAAGAGTTCTTCCTTCATGCCATCTTATACATTTCCTCAAAGAATAGATGTCTGGTGAACGGAAAAAATGAATGAAATACCCTTTTAAACATAATTTTTTCTTTAAAATTGTTTCTCATAATCAAGTCATACTATGAAAACAAACATGCAAAAAAGATGAACCAATTTACCTACACATACTTCCATTACAGAGGCTCCAAAAACACATCTGCAGTGTCTAGCTCTCAAGGACTCAGTAACCGTAGAATAAATTAATTTATTGGAGTGCAATTCTTACTCAGGCAACTTTATTAGCTTCTAATAAGTAGTTTGAAACCTCAAGTCTTAGAACAGATAAGGTAGAAGTTAGGACACAGTATTTTTACATTGTTACTCAAATCATCTGACTAAAACACAAGTTTGGTATCAGTTAATCACCACACATTTGGTTAAGCCTAAATCTCCATCTGAAAAACTAGTTACAAGTCCTTTGAAAATATTTTGGTTGTATCAATCCATAAAAATGATTTTAGACTTACTTTCCCAAGAAGGCGACTTAACATACTCTTGAACTAGGGTCTTCACATAAGCATTCAAAGATGTCTCATGAAGTCCAATGGGACGACAAGTTGGGCATTGCTTAAAACAGCTTTCATTAACGCCCAACCAGTCACAGAGCTGAAAAAGAAGACAGTCACTACTTTAAGAACCTAACTGAATAAAGGGTTTCTAATTTCCCTAAGCTAATTTTCTTTTTTCCGCAATGAAATGAATTTAAATCATTAAATCATTAAATTTATCATCAGCAATAAACCATTTATTGTCATGATTGGGTTACACAGAAACTAAAAAAAAGTATATGTATATATATGTACATGTATATTTTTGTGTGAGATACATAGACATACGTGTGCATGTTTTCTAATCTCCCTCAAAGAATTTATAAACTTTATTAACAGGCAAGAGTTTCTAAAGTACCCAATATAAAATGCACATTTTGATGAGGTGTTTCAAAGAACATCTCTATGAAAAATAACACATTACATAAAATTATATCCTTAAAACTCCTTCCAGCTTCATATATTAAAATAAGAACTTTTATTTTTTAAAGAATGTAGAATTTGAAATATAAGTTACAATTAAAGTTCCTACCCTTCTCACAAGTTTATCTTCCATTATATGTGCATATTAAAATACTGTACATTAATTCAAAACAGAAATACTCTCCTAGTTCTTTTCCATTACATATCTTAGAAGATTTGTAAAAATAAATCACAGAATTTCACCCTTAATCTTTGATCACATGTAATTATGAATTTTTTGTTTTAAAAACTAAATTTCCTTTTTACAATAGCTATCTTAATAAACAAATTCAATAAATGAGTTTAAATCTAAAGAAAATAATTATAAAATTAGTCTTTCTAAAAGGTAAGAATTTTTTTAAAAATATTTTTTCCATTCATTAAGGTCATCCAAAATTATCTCTTAGGAGGCAAAAGAATAAAACATTATATGACCACAGACAAAATTGATGAATGACTGAATTAAGGAATCAGTAAATACTAAAAGATACCCCATACATACAATGAATGAGTAGTTCAATAATGCTAAAAGAAGTTGTCCTGAGTAGGTCTTTATCAAGTTAGATAATCTTAATATATATTCTAACAGTAAGTATTCTAACATTTATATCTTTTAACAGTATATACTTTTCTTTACATTCCTCTAAAACTGGTTAGACTAAGTTTTCCAATTATTGCTATAAAATATGTGAGGCTTTCCAAATCGTGTTATTTCCCTAGGCATGATTCTGTTACATAAAAAGTATTTCTGACAAGTAAACTCAAATGCATATTTGATTCTTTCTTTCCCTCTATCAAATCTGTCACAAAATTCAGAATATTTTCCCTTCAAAGAGTTTTCAAATCCAGATGTATGGTTTAAAATGGCATCTACATAGTCTCTGGTAGGCAAAATTGCTTGATTCTCCCAAAATACAAATCTCAAAAATCTATTTGGACATATCGAGAGAATGAGAAGACAAGCAACAGACTGGGAGAAAGATTTGTAAACACATATCTAATAAAGGACTAGTATCCAAAACATGCAAAGAACTTTTAAAACTTCTGAGTAAGAAAACATATAGCCTGATTTAAAAATGTGCAAACATTTTCCTCAAAGACACACAGATGATAAATAGCGTATAAAAAGATGCTCAATATCATATATCATCAAGGAATGGTAAATTAAAACAAGAAGATACCACTACACACCTACTGGAATGGCTAAAATCCAGAATGCTGATAACACCAAATGCTGACGAGAACGTGGAACACTCACCGCTGCAAAACAGTACAGCCACTTTGGAAGACAGTTGGGCAGTTTCTTAAAAAATTAAAACCTACCCTTATCATACAATCTAGCAATGACACTCTTTGATATTTACCCAAATGAGTTGAAAAGTTACGTCCACACAAAACCTGTACACAGATGTTTGCAGCAGCCTTATTCCTAACTGTCAAAACTTGGAAGGAACCAAGATGCCCTTCAGTAAGTGAGCGAATGAGTAAACACACTGTGGTACAGCCAGACAATGGGATACTATTCAATGCTAAAAAGGAATAAGCTATCAAACCATGAAAAGACAAGGAGGAAGCTTAAAGGCATATTACTAAGTGAAAGAAGCCAAACTGAAAAGGCTACATACTATATGCTTCCAACTATATGACGTTCTGGAAAAGGCAAAACTATGAAGACAGTAAGAGGAGGAGTGGTTTCCAGGATTTAGGGGGAAAGGGAGGAGGTCAGAACAGGCAGAGCAGGGAAGATTTCTGGGCAGTGAAACTATTCTGTATGATACTGTAGTAATGCACTAAACGTTTGCCAAAGCCCATGGAATGTACAACACAAAGAGTGAACCCTAATGTAAACTAAGAACATTAGTTAATAATAATGTATCAACCTGGGGTCATCCACTGTAACAAATAGACCACACTAATACAAATTGTTAATAGGGGAAATTGTAAGGATGGAGGGAGTGGTAAGGGGGTATGCGGGAGCTCTGTATTTTCTGTTTGATTTTTCCATAACCCTAAAACTGCTCCCAAAAATTAAGTCTATTAATTAAAAAATTATTTAGGCTGAGCTATATGAAAATGCCATTTCTATAGGTTAAAAATGACAGAACATCAATGATTTATATGATTCAGCAAAAGACATTTACATACTGTGAACACTAACAAAAGTTATATGATATAGCTAAATCTACACTAAGATTTTATATTTTATATATATATATATGCTTTCATTATTAAACAAAAAGAATTAAAATGGGGGTTAAGCTATAAAGCACCAACTGTAAGCTTCCTGAGGGCAGCGGGCACGTTTCTCCTGCTGACCACTGTATTCCCAACACTCAGCAGGGTACCTAAGTGTGGGAGGTATGCACTAAGTAGTTCTCAATAATGAAATCAAGACATTAGGAGATAAGCAAAGTAAACTAAATGAAAGTAAAAGAAGGAAACAGGTGAAAGTAGACATAATTACAGAACTGAAAATGGCACCTACATAGTCTCTGGTAGGCAAGACCGCTTGATTCTCCTAAAATACAAATCTCAAAATCAAATAAAAAGACAAATAAGGAAATCTAAGAGCCAGCTTCTTAACAACAGGCAAATACCTGGCTACTCAGATGGGGGGTGGGGGGAGGGATGGGACAGTAGTAGAAGACATGGGCTAAATATAATCGGAAGCATTTTTACATAATTTTCTCTTTTAAACCTCACAGCTCACACCATACAACAAAATAAATTCAAGATGGATTAAAATCCACAATTTAAAAACTACATCCATCAATTGCAATGACTAGGTCTTGTTTGGATACTTAAATGAACAAGATTGAATATCTGAACAAAAAAAATGCAGAAAACAAAATTTAAAAACACATTTATTGGCCATCTGGAGAAATGTAAACATTGCATATTTAAAATAAAGAAATTACTATTTTTTAGGTGTGATAAGGGCTTATTTTTTAGGCCCTTTAGGCCCTCCTTATCTTTCAGCAGTACATACTGAAATATTTATAGATGAAATAAGATTTGATAGGATTTGATTCAAAATAAATGGGAGAAAAACAGAGAGTAGGGAGGTCCAGGTGAAAGATGGGCCATAAGTAGTGCTTATGCTGGGTGATGGGTATATGAGAGCTCATTAAACTCTTCTCTTTAAAAAATGGTTAAATTTTTCATAAGTTAAAAGCTACAGGAAAATAAACTAAAAACTACATCAAAAATCAAAATGAAAAGAAACCAAAAAGGTACCCAAACTTACAAATTACAATAAGAGAAAGATAAATCAAAATTACACTGAGATGCCCTTTCTCATCTACCAGGTTGGTAAAAAATTCAAGTATCACAACAGACACTATCATACACTGTGAAATTTATGCAACCCTGTGGAAGGCTGCATAATGGCCCCAAAGATATGCAAGTCTAATCCCTGGAACCTGTGAGCTTTGCAGATGTCATTAAGTTAAGGATTCTGAGATGGGGAAATTTCCCTGGATTACTGGAGTGGGCTCAATGTAATCACGAGTGTCCTTATAAAAGGAAGGCAGAAGTAGATGTGAGTGCAGAAGCAGAGGAGAAGGAGGTGATGTGAAAATGAAGCAGAGATCTGAAGATGCTATGCTACAACTGCAGAAAGTGGGAAAAGCAAGGAAACAGATTCTCCCCTAGGACCTGTCAGAATCCTGATTTCAGCCCAGTGATACTGATTTCAGAATTCTGACTTCCACAGTTGTAAGAGAATAAACATATGCTATTTTAAGCCACCAACTTGGTGATAATTTATTATAGCAGTCACAGGAAACACCAACCCTGGGGAGAGAAATTTGGTAATACCCAGAAAAATTACACATGCACTTAATCTTTGATCAGTGATTCCAATTCTAGGAATCCAATCTACAGGCATAACCTGCAGAAGTAAAAAAAAATCAATGGCACTGTTTTGTAAAAGCCAAAGACTGGAACAACTCAAGAATCCAGTAATGGAAAAGCTGAATAATGGCATAGTGAGCTGGGAGTGTTGGCTCACGTCTGTAATACCAGCACTTTGGGAGGCTGAAGTGGGAGGACTACTTGAGGCCAGGAGTTTGAGACTAGCCTGAGCAATACAGCAAGACCCTGTCTCTACAAAAATAGATAAATTAGCCGGGCATGGTGGTGTGTGCCTGCAGCCCCAGCTACTTGGGAAGCTGAGGCAGAAGGATCACTTGAGCCCAGGAGTTGGAGGTTGCACTGAGCTATAATGTTGCCACTGCACTCTAGCCTAAGCAGCAGGTTGAGATCTTGTCTCCAAAAAAAAAAAAAAAAAAAAGTATAACCACTCAGTGGAATACAATGCAAGCAAACAAAAAAGAAATGAAATCTCTACCTACACACATACATACACACATACATATACACACATGCACATATATACAAATCACTAGAGTATATTTTTAATTAAAATTTGAAAGGTGGGAAGCAGAGTCTATATCAAAAGCTACCATTTGATTAGGGACGGGGTGGGCTGCAACAAGAGGCAGGGCAGAGTAGAAGAGCAAGATGGAAATGAGACCCTCTGACCAACAGTTTTAATCTTCAAATCATGTAAATTAGTTACCTATTCAAGCAAGCAAAGCTAAATTTAAAAAAAACAAAAATTATTTGCAACAAATATAACAACTTGTCAATACCCTTAATATAAAAAGAGAACTTATAAATCAAGCAGGAAAAAACCCAAAAAACTTCAAAAGGAAATTGGGAAAAGGACAGAAATAGACTATTCACAGAAGAAATACTACAAAAGAAACATGAAAAAATGTTCAAAAATACCAGTGATCAGAGAAACGCAAATAAAATCACCAAATAAGGTGTTTCATCTACCAAAGTGGCACAGAATTTAGCGTGCGGATACATGTGGTACTGTATCAATGCAGAGATAACATGGATGTGTACTTTCACACTCTGACACCTCTGTCTACAGGAAGAACCTTAAAAATACTGAAATCCAGCAATTTCAATTCTATGAATTTATACTAAAATAAAGGGATAAATAAAAAAAAAAACCATACAGTTCCTCCCATTGTTATTTATAAAAGCCAAAACTTTCAAAGTCCAACTGAAGGAACTCATTAAATTCTAAAATATTTCCTCAACTGAATTTTTACTATCACATCTTGATGAATAACTTAGCAACATGCTAAAATGCCTGAATGTGTGAAAAAATAAAATTCAAAAAGTATAATCTTTATTTTCTTTAGAAAGATCTTATGTATTACTGTATCATTTTAAATATACATATACACACCTATAATGAGAAAGCAAGAGGATACATATATTCATAGGGAAAAAAATTAAGAACTAATGGTGGGCATTACAGGTGATTTTATTTATACAGTTCTACATTTTTCATATTAGATGCATTATGATCATGAAAATAAAATGAAACTATTTTTTAAAGGCCCTAATAATTTGCCCCTCCTTCATTTACCTCTGCCATTAACTAAGCCCTCATTATTTTAACGCTGGAATTATGACACACTCCAAGCTGATTTCTCTTGCTTCTATGTACACATAGGAAGAACTGCCTTCTAAAAGAAAGAATTCCAAGTCTCACTAATCTCCTATGCACTAGAAAAATAAAAAAAAATACATATATATATATATATATATATGGTTCCTATCCATATATAAATGTGTATATATAAATACACACACACAGAAAAATAACCTAGACAGGACAGAGATCAGAACTTGACCCTCAACCAAGATGCCATGAATAAGGGCTAAAGTCAGTAGTATGAATTAAGTCCCACGGTTTAATTCACGGGAAGAGTCCTGCTGAGAAGAGCGGCTCAGTCAGAGGGCCAAGGCCTTGGGGCCAGGGACACAGCATCAGCAAGACATCATTACAACAGAAGAAGCTTCATGTGAGGGTCTGCGCTACAGCAAAGAGGGAATTGGAGAAGAAGAAAGAGGTTTAAAAGACATCAGGGTTTCATGACGAATTAGATGCATAAAGTCAAGAACTGAAAATTTACTGAAATGTCAGGCTTGGGTGACTGAGAAGAGGAAAGGGCCATTAAGTGGCAGAAAAAAGAGAAATAGGAAGTTTGTGTTACTGTTGTTGAGTCTAACATTGTCATTATTCCTGATACATCTCACCCAGAATTGGGATCTGCCCACTAGCACTGTATTTTCCTCTAAATAGGTTTTATCTCTACTGTGAACACTTCTCTCTCTCCTACTTCTCCGTGAGAATCTTAGCAGCATTAGTTAAGTCCACTCAAAGCAAATATACAATATTTCAAAATCTCTGTTGATAGACAACAAAGCAATCATTGTATCTTACATTTATGGCTAGTACTGAATTCAATTAGAAAACAAATTTTTTATAAAGTTTTCAAAGACCTTATTAAAACTTCCAATCTCACCTCTGTCCACAGTGAAGTTCCTCGTCCTAAGGATTCTTCTTGTCTCAGAGACATGAGAAAAGTTGAGACATCGGAAAGTGACACCTTCTCCTAGGAGTTTTAAAAAATTATTCATTTTAACATTTTTAATTGAATAAGATAAAAATCACTGTGGAAGCAACTAAGCATACTATTTATACTATATATCAAGTAGATCATTAGCTAAATCAAAAATGTATTTTAAGAAGAAAATATTCAGCTTTTAAAATGAAGATATCAGTTACGATCTTTCATTATATAAAGGGAAAGCTTATTCTAAAAATCTATTTTCCTAACAAGCACCACATATACTCACCAGCAAACTGGTATTAACTGAGCAGCACCTAAGTGGACACATAGGTACTACAGTAATAGGGTATTGGGCAGGTGGGAGGGGGAGAGGGCGGGTATATACATACATAATGAATGAGATGTGCACCATCTGGGGGATGGTCATGCTGGAGACTCAGACTTGGGGGGGGGATGGGCATTTATTGAAACCTTAAAATCTGTACCCCCATAATATGCCAAAAAAAAAATCTATTTTCCTTAAAATTGAGGTTACTATCTTAGAGAAAAGATAGCCACAGTACTAAAGAAAAAAATATCATTCTATAAGAAGAAATTGCTTTCAATCAGAAAGTGATTTTTTTCAAAGCCACAAAACTGACCACTTGACTAAAGAAAACCACCCAGGTGTTTCATCCCTTGAAATGAAGTGTATCTTGAATTAAGAGCCCTTTCTCTAGGCCAGGGCTCGGCAAAACTACTCACAGCCTAAATTTTTGGGAATAGTTTTGTTGGAACACAGCCATGTCCAAATGTCGATGGCTGCTTTGGGCTACAATGGAAGAGTTCAGAAGTTGGAATAGAGACCGTACAACCACCAGCAAAGCCTAAAATCTATTTACCATCTGGCACTTCACAGAAAAAGTCTGTTGGCCCCTGCTCTAAGCTAATAGTAATTACTGGGGCTCTGTAAAAAGCAGAGAATAAAGATAGTGTATGTTCTCTGGATGTTGATACACTGGAAGATGAGGAGGAAAAGTATAAAGAAAACGAGGCACATGCTCCCAGAGTCCTCCCCCAGAGGGTCACCCAGGATGTGCTTGGTTCCCCCAGCAACGAGCTGTGCCATCACCATGAAATGTTGTCTAGCAGGGGAGCTCACTGGAGGCTCAGTGCCCAGCGTTTTTATTGGGACCCGGTCATGGAGATACCCTTTGCCTCCACATGTACTGAAATTCCAGACTCCCAGAAGGAAAGCAAATGCTCAGCATAAACACACTGCTTTTATACACTTCGGGCACAGTGTGCCACTCCTCTAGATTAGGGTACTGTAAATCCTCCCAAAATCCAAGTTCCCAGATGCCAGCCAGGGGCAATCTTATAAGCAGGCCTTTCTAATGGTGGTGTCACAGGGCTGCTATGTTAACTCATTTTTGCACACCCACTAAGACAGACTTGTAAATGGAAGTATCAAACAATCGACTTACCACATCCAGCAAATTCATAGCTGTTTGAAGAAGATAGCATTGAGCTGCCCCTCTCAATAGAATCTGATGTGTGATCATTGTGCAGTGAATAACATCCCTGACATCAAAACACACACACACAAATGCATTTCCACATGCCCAAAGACAATTTTGATAATCTGTAATTACTGACAAGATGATTTATAACATCTACAATTTCCAATGCAGAAAGTCACTGTCAGTAGAATTTCAAAGCTACTATTTTCCATCATGGCCTCAAGTAGAGCTCAATGTTAATATAGCACAAATCTCTTTTTAAAATAAGCATATAAATGAAGATGCTTTTAAAGTAAATATTTTATATTTTTTGAAATAATTTCTAATCAATATTATTGTTTGATGTTTTAGCTTTAGTTTTCTACATATTAATGTAATTTTTAAAAAAGGCCTACTGGACTTATTTAGTGGTTGAAATCCAGTAGCATACATTTTAGTCCATACTAAAATTAGTAATTCATAAAACAAAATTAGTTCAATTATATGAATAACAGATTTTTAAAATTTTTTTCTTATATAAAATTAAGAGCTCAAATATCTGAATGATAATATTAACTAAACTACTCACTGTAGATTAAACCACGCATTGCAGAAAAACAATATATACAGATGGAAAGTCATGGAAAATAACCAGACACGAACATATATACAGGGTAAATTACCTGAGAGCAAGAAGCCCTTCTATACCCAGGACCTTAGATCTTGGGACATTTGCCAAAGCCTTTGATAAAAACAAAATGGGAATAGCACACCAATTTCTACTTGTCATCTTCTTAATAAACTTTAACAGGAAACTACCTGAAAGAAAAAGTTTTAAAACATCATTATTGCCAATAAGCACGTGAAAAGATGCTCAACATCATTAGTCATTAGGGAAACACAAATCAAAAACCATAATAAGATACTACCCCATGCCCACTTGAGTAGCTCTAAGCAAAGGACAGACGATAAGCAATGTTGGGAAGGATGCAGAGAAACTGGAACCCTTGTACACTGCTAGTGGCATTATAAAATGGTACAGCTACTGTGGAAAACAATAAGGCAATTCCTCAAAAAATTAAACATATGACCCAACAATTCCACTCCAAGGTATATATCCAAGAGAGTCAAAAGCATGTGTTCAATCAAAAATCTGTATGTGAATAGTCACAGCAACATTTTTCGTAATAGTCAGAGGTGAAAACAATCCAAATGCCGACCAACTGATGAATGGAAAGTGTGGAATATCTATACAGTGGAATGGTATTCAGCCACAAAAAGGAATGAAATACTGATACATGCTACAACATGGATGAACCTTGAAAATACTATGCCAAGTGAAAGAAGCCAGACATAAAAGGCCACATAATGTATGATTCCACTTATGCAAAATGTTTAGAATATGCAAATATAAAAAGACATAAAGTGGATAAGTGGCTGCCAGCGGCTGAGGAGAGAGGAGAATAAGAAGAGGCTGCTAACGGGCATGGGGTTTCTTTGTGGGGATGATGAAAATATTAGGGAATTGGATAGTGGTGATGGTTGTACAACTTTTTGAATATACTGAACACCACTGAATCAAACAGTTTCAAAGGGTGAATTTTACGGCATATGAATTATATCTCAATAAAGCTGTTATAAGAAAAAGAAATCAATGTTATTTTAATTTCATTCCTACTAAGATAAGTATTCAACTATATTGCAGATTCTGATAACCATGATGCTACCTTAAAAAAAAATTGTTAAAGTGAAAGATAAATTTTTTACAGTTAGAAGCCATTCCTCTGTTTGAGATGTTAAGGAAAAACAAGACAGGAAGCATTGATGGTCACTGGCCTTTGGTATCTGCAAATAATAATATTAGATCTTTCTCATAAGCTGTTTCTTGGCTAGCCTAGATCTAATCACAATCATTTATATTTCTATTTTGAGATCCAAAGGGCTGGTGCTTCATTCTGCCTTCTCTGCTAATGTGTTGCGTGTTAAGAACCCTCCGGTTACGCAGCCAGTGGGCATGTCTGCTTTCTCAGATCACCACTGCAGAATGACCTAAGAAATCCTCAGAAGCTCCTAAAAGGATATGATGTGTTTTATGTCTTCCAAAGTTCCTAGCACAAAACTAGACATACAAAAGATATTCACTGGAAATTGGTGACTGAAAAAAATTACTAAGAACTGTGAATAAACACCTGAACACTCTTTTGTTTACACTAATTAAGTTCAATAAATCCCATCTTTTGCCTAACACCTCACTCATGACACAAGGAAGCTGGCAATGGCTAAGCTTCCATTTCCCATTCCTTCAACACATTTACCAGTGTTGGTGGCATGCCTAGGAGCCACAAAAACCAGGCACTCAAATTTTAAGAAGTGCTGACCACGTTATTTCACTCACATGTGCCACTGACACAGGAGGCACCGATGTGGGCAACAATTAATCACCACAGAGCTGCGGCCCAGAAGCTTAAACTTCTGTATTCTAGCAAACTGAAGAATGGCTCTAACAGTTAAATTATCTTCTCTACAAACTAATTTTTAAAAAAAATAAATAAATAAATAATCAAAACAATCAATTTTCTATAATTTAAAGTCATGATATGCAGACCATGTTTTCCATATTTTCCCTGACTTTTGAATAGATATTGCCATTGGTCATCTTTTGTCATCCTGTTTGCAGATTAAAATAAAAATTATATATATTTCATATCCAGGGTCACTTTAAAAATCAAAGGTGGGAGTGAAAAAAGGACTTACAAAGCAGAGTAAGTCCTTCTGCTGCTCAGCAAACAAAATTACACTGCTTTTGTGCTTTGCTTATCAACTTAAGTCATCAGAAAGAAAAATAAATCCCCACCCTGAAGAAGTGAGATAGTTCTAGGATACAATGTTTTACATAAAACGAATGTATTTTTCTTTCTTATCTTTCTAAGTCAATATCTATAAAGGCATAACTTGCCATAACGGATGTTCTGTTTACAACTTTTCCCTAAAAGCAGGTTCTTTCTTTCTTCAATATACTAACTCTTAAAGTGGAATAGTAGACAATTAGAAAAAGTAGCTAAACTGCAACACGCGTTCTAAAATTACTTACATGGTACTCATGCCAGTACTGGCAATGTTACATACAATGGCAAAAGTGTGTACTCACAATCTTCCAGGATATGCATTCTGACAAAATGTGCATATCCTTGGAAAAAAACTATTTTGAAAATACTGGTTATCATAGTCATACAATGGTACTTATAACCAATATGCTAATAATAAAAATTTTTAGGTTATTAATTTTTTTTAAAACTCTTTACTGACACATACTCTTTATGTCTTCCGGAAGAAGAGAAATATAAGTGACTAAAAACTTCTGTAATTTCAATCCCAATGGAGAACCACTTCCTATCAGCTGTCCTGGGGACCTATAGACAAAGAGGGGGGAAGAAACAAATATTTAAGATCTATTTACAAGAAAGTATACTGAAACTAGTCTAAATAGACAATGGCCCAAAGGTCTTTCAACAATAAATCAGACAATCTTTTTCTGAACCTGCATTCTATTTTTCAGTATAACTCTGAGAATCTTTCTGATTACACATCAGGAACTTCTAAGAAAATGGACCTGAGTTAAGAACCTACTCTACTAACTAGGCACGGCTTTCCTTTTTATGACACTTTCCCTGACATGTATATGAATCTTGCTAAACGGTCTCATAAAAAATGACAGCCTAAAATGATAATTTAAAATATTATAATGTTTCCGACATACATTCCAATGACTTTGAATCTTTAGATCTAAACTAAAAGAAATAACATCCATAGTAAAGATATATATTAGTAATAAATTACTTCTGCAAGAGCATTTAATTGTCAACATCCACTGAAGTCACATTTTTTCTGCTATATACTTCTGCCAGGAACATTATCTGTTAATTGAACACATTAGTGTGCTAGAAAATTGAAGGCATTTCATAACATATGTATTTGTCAACTCTTTTAGAAAGCACCAAGATTCTTCATTGGTGTTACTGCTCTCCAGCTGTCTAACGGCTTCAGAAAACTATTCAAGAGTAATGACTTATTTGAAAACTAAAAATAAATTGGCACGTCAAGCATTGCTAGACTCTTTCCATATTAAACCATACTAAATATTAATATAACTTGGCACAGACTAATTAAAAATTTTTAAAGAAACTGGCAGAGAGGGATTTTTCCTGCTTAGAGGCATACCAAACAGAAGACTTACAATTATAAATTTAGTTATTATTATCTTAGAAAGACAACAAACTTAATTGCAAAAGGGAAATTTTTCAAGATATAATTCAAGAATAGAGACTAATGCTCAAAAAAAAAATGAGGCTAAGGCACAATCCTGACAAACACTTCTGTTAGCCTTTTGAAGAGGTAAAGGTGACAAGTAAGTAAAATGACAGCCACTGTCAGACACTGAAAAGAAAAGATCAGAATGAACCTTGTGGTATTGGACTGAAATGGGATGTACTGGTGTGAATTCATGGTTCTCAATATGGATAGATGGATGGATGGACAGAAGGACAGACAGACATTGAAACAAACAGGTAAGTCTGAAATCGAAGATACACACACACTCACATGCAGAAAGAGAGACCACAATTAAGCCAATCTGGTAAAACATTAACATTTGGGGAGTAAGGATGAAAACTAAACAGGAAATCTTTGTATTATTCTCGTACCTTTTCTGTAAGTCTAAAACGAAGTCACAAGAAAAAGCATTTACAGTGCTCACATTAGCCAAAGTCGTTAACAATTTCCAAGAGGGCAGAAAGCAGGAATAGGGGCAAGATAAAAGACACAGAGCCCAAGAATGCAGGAGCTCAAGGCAGGAGGGAATACTTGATACAAATAATAGAAGGCAAGAAGAACTGTAAATACAGAAGGGACCAAATGACAAGAAAAAGCTGACTGTTAGGCAACATACATTATGTCTCAAGTGCATTAAACAATCTGGTCATGTCTCATAACATCAAATGTATGTATCAAATACATAATACTGCATTATGCTAAATAAAATAGTATTTGTTTACCTGCTATACAGAGAGCACTCTGAAAGTGCATCCATTAATGGTCCAATAATAAACTAAAAAAAAAAAAAAAAAGACATGCAATTGATTAGTTGTAACTGCAATTTGGGAAAGTCAGCTTGCCCTGACTGTCCATCCTACACAGGCTGGCAGAAGAGCTGCTATAAACTAAGCCGATCTCTTACACTGGAGGTTAATTCAGTGATGGTCTTATAGGGTAACCTTAATTCTACAAGAACAAAATAAGTACAGAATTCTCCCACCTGATAAAAACTTATGACATATTAGGAGAGTTCATATGTTGGATCATGAAAGAAGAGAGGAACTGAAGAAGAAACCACATGCTGGATAATAAAGGTAGTAACAGAGAAAACAAAAAGAAACTTGAGAGAATTTAATCCCCTCTACCTAGAAGATAAACGGGGACAATTATACTCAAAAATCATTACTAGACACTGGTCAAAAAAGTTTACATGAAGTGCAGGAAGAATAGGAGAATGTAGAAAAATGATCCATATCAAAATATTATAATATGTATTGAGGCAACTAGAAAAATTGACTTAGGTTACCTCTAAATGACAGGTGTTACTCTACCTAAGAAAGTGGTCATGTGACTCACAGGACACTATAACATAAAATCATAGCTATAATTCTCACCATCTCTTCACATTGTGTGGTTCCTGACAAATGGAAATAGAGACTCCAATGAACACAGCTCAGAAGACAAACTCAACTTAATACAGTAGATAGCAGTATTTCAGTAAGTCAGAACTGGGACGGAGTTTCAACACTAAATAACAGGAACTCAGAGATTCAGAACTGCAAGAGCAGTATCACCTAAAACCTTCTAAACCATGGTTTTCATGCTCTGGACTCATGTTGCTTAGAATACTGATATCATAGAAATTACTTTTCACAATGGTCACGCCACAGACAGTTCTGCCATTCAGCTTACTGAGAAATGACATAAGCTTTTTCCAAACAGGATAGATAGGTTTGGAGAAATAGAATTTGCTGTATGCAAATCTATAAAATAATACTTGCTGATATAAAGTCCTAGTATCTCTCATCTTTTGACAAAGAGAGCAAGGAAGGGGATAGGCTGTCATTACCTCAGAAAATTCTAGTGAAAATGGAAGGAACTTCGTTTCATACAGCTCCAAAAAATGGATAACACCTTCTTTGGTCAGGATTTTATTTTCACTTTCAAACATTCTTTTATAAATACACATATGCCAGGATGGATGAAAGAGCCAACATCCTGTGGGAAAAAACATCTAATGTTGACATCTGATTCTAACTTTATGTCTCTCCATGTACAACTATATACTTATAAATAAATACACTTACAAACACATTAACTTCATTTTAACACTACAAAAGTGAGTCTGTTTTTAATCATATCCAAAGGTGTTTATTGAATAACAAAAATAGTTTCATTTAGAATGAGTGCAAACGAATATTACAGCTGTTAGAGTGTACAAAAACCAATTATTACCCCATGCACTCAAGACTGGAACTTTAGATTTGGGGGTAGTTTCAACCAATTCTTCTCTTATCCCACTTCAATCCCCCTTTTTATACAGGACTCTGAAACTGTCAGTCCTCTGCCTGAAAACCTTGAATAGTTTCCCATCAGTCTTAGAACAGAATCCCAACGAGGGACAAACTGACCCTGTACCAGGTGCTGCCACCTCCGCAGGGGCTCTGAGCTTGGATGTCATCCCTAAAACAGGCCTTCCCTGACTACTCCACTCATCCTTTACTCCATTTCAGCCTCTTGTCTGTTGTTCCCTTCCTAAAACTTACAATGGAAATGATTTTTTTCAAGTGAAAAATACTGCATGTCTCTCACCACTTTATCTCTCAGGCTTAGCATATACTGGACACTATGTCAGTATCGATGAAGTGAACATACAAATGAGTGAGCAAATAAAAAACGGAATAAATGTGTACCTTAATGGATTTTCTCTTTTGAAATATCCTTTAATTCTATTACAAAAGAAATATTCAGCATTTTAAACTCATGATATTTATAAATAAATTGGCCCATTATTTGTAATTTACACCAAGATACTTGTTCAACTCTTTGGCAATGATAATTTTTCAAAATCAGTCACTACTATTTGATTTGGTTTGCCAAGAGCTGTGGGCAAAATGTGGTAATAAGAACATCATTTTAACAATAAATGCGTAAGTAAAGTCACAACAGGATGCAATTAAATTCTAGCCCCAGGTGGAACTACAGATGGGTATGGTTTGTGAAAAATCCCAATGTATCAGAAAACAACTAGAACAATCAGCTGAATAAAGCTCAAATCCTAAGGGGTCAAACTATTAAAGTTGAAATTATCTAGAGCAGGCACTAAAACCCATTTATCTAGGTTAATTCTCATGTGTAAACACAATAATGTAGCACTTTATCGATACTCATATGAATAAAAAACACTATTGGCCTCCATTTAGCTATTTCATTGATTGAAACTTAATTTCATAAAATAATTTTAGGAAGTTCTAGCTTCATTTTCTTTCTCCTAAAAAGCTCCCATACTACAGCAGTGACTAACAGCTTATAAACCATATTTAAAATTATATCTTGGAATTTTCAATTCCTAAGAAGTCCAAGACACAAGAAAACTGAAATCCCAAGAAAAGTAACTCTAACAAACACTGGAAAAGATTTATTAAGAGAATAAGAATGGAAGGTAGTTAAAATGTATATTCATACCAAACAACTATTATTAAAAACAGAATATATCATCATTAAAATGTTACCAAAGAATCTTTATCTTTTAAGGATATATACTGTAATATTTACAGATAAAATGATATGACATCTAGGGATGTACTTCAAAATCATTTGGTGGGGAGTAGGAAAGGCTACATCTGATAGAATAAACAGGGCTGGCCATGAGTGTACTGTTAAATGGGTGTGTTGAAGGGGAAAAAAGATAGGAAACAAAAACCAAAAGGTTCATCGTACACACTCTTCTCCTTTTGTAAATGTTTGAAATTTTCCATAATCAAAACCTTAAAAAATTAACCATATTCCTAAATCATGGAAAAATCTTCAGCCATTTGAAATTATGGTCTTAAAGACTATGTAAGAATATGGGTAAGTAGATACGGATATTATGCTAAGTGAGATAAACATTCTGAACAACATGCTCCAGAAGGTGTATATCTGGAATGTTTAACAGCAGCTGTTTGTTATCTCTCAGCGGCAACATTACAAGATGATTCATTAGCCTCTGTATACTTTTACAGTCTTCCCACATTCTCTACAATGAACAAGTATTAGTCATAAAATCAGGAAAAATTATAAGTGTTATAAAAATCAAAATAATAGTAATCATTACCATTTTCCTCTGACACTGCATATTCAAACAGATTGTTCAGCTTTGGTAAGACTGGCTTTATGACATGTATCTAAAAATAAGAACAAAAAATATCATATGAAATGAAAGTGTACCTTTAAGAACTTAAGGAAATTGTCATGTATTTATATAACAGTAGCCCTTCTGTTTGTTTTTACTTTTAAAAACTGTTTGTTTTTACATTTAAAAAATACGCAGAAGTCTGAATTTTCCAGTTTTTAAAACATACTATGATTCAATTATGTAAGATTGAGTATGGCAAAGCTAATGAGCATAACCTAGAATATAGATACAGTAACGTTTACATAGTGATTATCATAAATTTTATCATGCAATTCTCAACTGTCTTGGGAAATGGGTAGGACTGATAATACCAATATATTACAAAGAGGAAAAAAATACCGATATATTTTCTCTAGTCACTCACGTTGTTCAAGATCACACATTTAGAAGTAGAGACAGTTCAGTATTCAATGTTTTTCATACCACTTAGACTATGTTGCTAACACCTTTGTTAGAATTTAATTTATGTAACCTTTAATACATATGTAAATTTGAGTTTCTAAATAAATAATGGGTGTCTTACGGATCTATTGATTAAAGAAAACCATAAAAGTTTACTTGAATTTAGAAATGCTTTTTCTTTATTCCTCATCCTTAAATCTATATACATATTTAGCACACAGGACTAATTCTTTATTTCAGTCCACAATGCTTGGTGCACATTTGGACTGATACCTTACAATGACTCCAGATGGCTGGCCCCTTAGTGGGGACCAGAATAGCAGCACGAGCATCACCTGGGAACTTGTAAAAAGTTCAAATTCTCAGACCCCAGTCCTGACCTATTCAATCAGAAAGCCTGAGGACAGGGCCCAGTAATTTATAATTTAAAATAAGCCATCCTGGTGATTCTGATAGACATTAAAGTCTCAGAATGTCAAGGGAAGATCAAATATAACTAAATTTTTTGAATGATAATTTAAGTCCCTTGAAAGTATTAATTTCCTGAAATAATTTACATTTTATTTTAAATTGCATTTAGGCCAGAAAACTACAAAGCACACTTGGATTCTATCATCACCTGCTAGATCCCAGTTGGTCTTTTTGCATTATTTTTTAGTGAATGTTTGAAAAGAAGAAAAAATTATTATCTACTGCAGGATTCGCTATAGTAGGAAAACACTTACCTGATTTCCTTCTAGAGTTTCCATAATTAAGATATAATTTTCCCAAAATTTTAGAAGTTCATCTTTCTTCTTCTCAGACCACCAAAACAGACTTGGGCCTAATAAAGTTAAAAAAAGAAAATTAGTTCTTCCTTTTACAAATGTTGTAAGTTTCTTAATGATAGCAGTTGTTAAAATAATGCCACTATTACCAGATGTTGTATCCTCCAATAATGGAGGATCAAAGCCTAGTTAGGAGGTGTGGAAATCTCCAAAGGAGTTTTGTTTTGTAATTAAGATGACTGTTTTAGAGTTCTGGGTAAATATGACAGATTTGCACATATAAACTCTACTTTCTCTCCCCAAGCATCTCACTATAGCAGTAAAGGATTTTTCCAAGACAAAAACCCAGAAGAATAGAGAAAACAGGAGAGCAGACAACAGCAATAAAATTTAGAATCTGAAAATCAGATGAAAACCAAGCTGACTCAAGATAAGGGAATTTTAAATTAACATAGGGAAAGCCAAGAAACAACTTCATTTATACTGCAAAATTCCCCCAAACCAAAGGAGGTGGCAGCAAAAGTTACCCCTGTAAGTGGAAGTGAAAAGTGAGGCTAAACTGAATAGGATTTGTTCAGTGTGTTTAAGGAACAGTCACATTCCCTGGTCCCCTTTCCTATGTCCTGAACAGGAAAAAGACCGTACCAATTCTCTGGAGAAAGGAAATAGTGGGTCTCTGAATTGGGAGACCTAAGACCTAGCTGAGATCAACCCTACTGAAAATTGGGATTCAGTAAACATGTGTGCACCCTGGGTGCTGAGTCTCCCCTCTGCCTGCCCCCTTAGGTCCCAGAACGCTGGCCGGGACTTCCTTCTACGGCAGAAAGCTGGAAGGTGTCCTCTGCAGAATATGGCCAACTTGAGGAAACATCTGAAAATACTTATATCAGAGATTTACCAAAGAAGTGACCTGGTCAGATCACTTTCCAATGAAGTTCACAGTCCATGTGCTTAGAGCCTTCAACGCAATTTTGATTCCTTATTCTTAAGAATAAACAGGTATTCAAGGATCATTTGAGATCTGGGGAAACCTCTACTAAAGATTGAGACCAAAACAAATACGTGGAGAAAAAAGGAAATTGAAGAAAACAAAATTATGCAGGGAGAAAACGACTTAAAAAATCAAAACAAACTTTCATTAATATCTTAAGGGATATAAGATAGAGCTGTTATGGTATAAGGACAGGATAAAAAAGGGGACATTCCAAGAACAAAAAATACCTCATGAGGATTAAAAATTTGAGAGCATAAACAGGAAACCCAAATAAAGCACGGGAAATCACCCAGAAAGCAGAGCAAAAAGATAGTCACAGAAAATCCTTAGGAGAGAAAAAATGCTTTGAAAACCAGTCCAGGAGGTTCAGTATCTAAAAGAACAAAAGAAAACAGGGAGGAAATCATCAACAATATATTTCAAGAATATTTCCCAGAAACAGCATGATTTCCAGATTAAATCCATCAAGTGCCCAGAACAAGGATGAAAATTAACCTGTGCCAAACTTGTGAAACTTCAAAATGCCAGGACCACAGATCTTACCACCTTCAATGGGGAAGAAACAGTTCATGTATAAACAGGACTAAGAATTAGTTTCAGACTTCTGAATAGCAATAATGGAAGCTCCAGCTTCTAAGACAATAGATTGATGCCTGTAAAAATTTTAAAAGGAAATGTTTTCAAAGCTAGAATTCTATCAGCAATCAAACCGTTAATCAAACATGAGGGCAAAATGAAGGCATTTAGACATATATGGACTCAGCTTCTATTTAGGATATAGAAAACCACAGAAGAATTATTACTGCCATACAAACAGCAAAAGCTGGATAATCTAGAAAATCCTAAACTTCTGGGGGGGGGGTGCATGAGAGAGCTGAGTTCACAATGCAACTAGGTAGTTGAGTTCCAAAGGGCAGAAAGTCTCTCCAAGAATAGAAAGGACACACAAACTGTTCTACTGGCTGAGGACAAGAGGAAGTGGTAGTAAAAAGGCAGTTTAAAAAAATGGCGAAATTTTGTTGAGTTTTTTAAAGGCCAAGGTATGCTAGCTTGACAGCTTAGGATCCCTGAGAAGGCCAAGGAGTCACACCCACTCCTGAGGCTCTTTTCTTCAGGCCTGCCCCAGGTGCTCTTGAGAAAGACTGTGGGCAAGCAGGAGACCCTCTGAGGCACAGGCATTCAGGGCCTGCCTGTTTGAGAGGACAGCAGGACTAACTGGAGAGGCCCACCCATGTACCACAAGAGCACAAGAGGGTGATCAACTGCAGAAAGTGCCTGCATCCTGGACCCTCCTCTGATAAGATGCCAAAGCTATCAGCCTCTGGACAAGGGGCAGGAAACCCTCCATACCTCACCCTTGTCCCTGCCCTGATACCAGGCAAAAGTTGGTTGTCTCCAAGAAAGGGACTGAAAACTTGTTCTTTTTGCTCTGCACTGGCCTTAGGCAAAAGCATCTGATGTTGTGCAAAGGGAAGGGAATCCACTCCTGCCTGGTATTCTGCATGGATACAAAGCTGGTCTGTGGCTGCTGGAGGAAGGCAGGACACACACGCCCAAGACCTACCACAGACACATGCAGAATGCAGCTGCCACTGGAGAGGGCAAGGAAACTCTAAACTCTTCCCTAAATAGGAGGCAAGGTGATTTGCCCTGGACAGGCAGCAGAGGCAGTGAAAACTTGTGAACCCTGAGGCTCTGGCACATGAGGCTCAAGACGAGGCTGGAGTAGAAGGAATGAAAGCCCTTGTCCCTATCTCTAACCTTGCACCAAGTAACAAGGATTGGCAGTCTACACCTGAGGGAGTAACAAAGCCTTGGAAGAAGACACCCCCCTCCCCCAATCTGTGGCACAGGCCTCCCAGGCTGCACAAAAACCTTTAGGTATTCCAGGGTCCACGCCAAGCACAAGGTAGCCACAATCCACCATGGACAAATTTGAAGAATAGAGTGTACTGAAGGCAAACAGGGCAACAAAAGCCAAATCTGGCTCAACTACAAACTAGATTGACTCAACACCATGCACTAAGGGCCTAACAAAAATGTGCCTATCTCTAAGCAGAAATACTTACTTCCGTCTCTACTGTTATTGTAAGACAGGAAATAGTGACTCCAAGGCCAAAAGAGAAAACAGAAAACAAAGCCAAACTTAGATGGTCCAGTTATCAGACTTGTATTAATAGATAACTATAATTAAGAGATTAAAGGATCTAGTGGAAAAGGTAAAGAACATTCTTAAACAGATGAGCAGATGTGGATTTTCAGATGCAAACTTAAATTCTATCTCAAGAAACTACTGAAGCATGCACTCGCACTGATATGCGTAAAGCAAAAAAGAACTACAGGAAACAGATCCATGACAGGACTCAAGGCAAAGGGAATCCCCAGGATGATGGGTAGGGAGAGATATAAAAATCAGCTGTGTATGAGGCAATGAGTGACATGAGCCACATTTGAGCATGCAAGGGGACTCTAGGAGAAACTTCTTCAGGAAAACTTATAAAACACCTGGTGATCTGATTTTGTAGAGGAAAGGTTTAGACAGCTGGCTAAGAATTTAGGGCTGAATGAGTGATTAGTCCAGGCAGAACCAAACAATGATTATATGGAAAAACTTGGTGGAAGGGAAAAATAATCATAGTTCACTATATAGATCATCTGTGAACTGCATTTCCAGTGTCATAATTTGATAAATGCTAAAGACTCCCGTTTAACCAAACTTTTAACTGTGACAATGGATTTTATAACTGTGATATGTTACTTTAAGACATAGTGGTAAATACCAAAATACTCAGTTAAAAGAGGTTAACAGTGTTTGCTTTCTGAAATGGAGAAAACGAGGGCAAGTATGTAAAGACTATTTATTGCTTAACTCTAAAACTAAAGAATGACTGACCTGTTAAAATAAGTAAGTATTTAACTCTGGGGATTTAATGTTTGCCAGTGAAAACTCTCATGGAAGATCACCTATTTGTGGACTATTCAAATATGTACTATCTAATGTGTTAAAATTATATGAAAATCTAATCTCACAACTTCAGCCAAACAAAAATCTTCTACCTATAATAAATGCATAGCCAGTTACAGTTGAAAAAACAGAAATAGTCTATCTATTGAGACAATTTCGAGTTAATCTATTTTGGACTTCTAGAGTTCAAGAGTGAATTTAAGATGACAAGTCAAAATAATCAACAGTAACATACCAGCTTGAAAGGAAGCTCTCGCAATTTCATCTACTCTTGTTCCATAACAACGTAGGAGAAAGCACAGCTCAAAATGTTTGAAAAAAAACAAACAAACTGACTCATTGGTAAATCTTACTCCTAATTACCAAAGGAAATTTCAAAAGAATGTGAGGGCTTCTATGATGCCTAATTCTAATACTCAATTCATTGATCGATACGGATAATTTTTCTTTCAATTTGATGGGCATCAACCCTTCCTATTAGAAGGGACCTATCTACCGCAATATAGCGCAAATTTGGGTCTGTAACATCCTGCATGGGCTCAATCACTTTCCTAAACTGTTTCCCGGGTGCTGCATTCTACCTGCTGGGGTCAGAGTGTTCCCAAATGCAGTGATTTGTGTCACCTCACAGAACACCCTCGAGAGGAGATTCCCAAGATTTTCAGGATTTAGGGGGCCACCTGGGAAAAACCAAATTGTGTGTGGACCGCAGAGACGACCTGGCTTTGGAAGCAAGAGGGCTCCCCTCCCAGGAAGCCACGTAGGTCTGGCTGGGGAGCAAAGAGGCAAGTACCGTTTCCTTCCTGGGGGCCGCAGGTGCAGTCGGACCCCAGCTCCGCCGACACCTCCACCGCCCTCTGCAGCAGGTAGCGGGCTCGCTTGCGCGTCAGGGCGTCCTCGGCCTGGCCCAGCCCCGCCTGCACGGTCCTCCAGAAGCGCCAGCATCGCCGGGCGTCGGGGCCCGCCTCCAGCGCGCGGGGGGCGCGGTCCGCGCCGGGCTCGGGCAGCAGCTTCTCCGCCAGGGCGCTCAGGACCAGCAGCTTCAGCCCGACGCGGCCCGGCGCCCAGGGCGCCCCCGGCGAGGCCAGCCCTCCCCACACGGCCCGCAGCGCCGCCCCGCCGCACTGGCCCAGCGCGGGCAGCAGCCGCGCGGCCACCAGCGCCACCGCGTCCTCGGCGGGCCCGGCCTCATCCCCGTCCCCGCACAGCACCAGGGCGACGGCAGCCTGCGCCACCCGCTCGAGCAGCGGCGCGTCCTCGCGGGGCCGCAGGCAGGGCCCGACGGCCGCCAGCACCTCCACGGCCGCCTCGGCGCCCGGCGCGCGCCCCGCGGCGAGCAGGTCACGCAGCGCCTCCTCGGCCAGCGAGGCCGCCAGCTGCGGGCCCCGGCCAGGCGGGCGCACGAGCGCAGGGCCGCGCCCGCGCCTCAGCACCGCGCGCGGAGGCGGCGCGCGCGGCAGCCCGGGGTCCGGCCGCCGCGGGTCGCCACGCCAGGCCCGCGCCAGCACCGCAGCAGCGGCACGAGGTACCCCGCGGCCACCTCGCGCGCCGCCTCCGGGAGCGCGCCTGCGCCCCCGCCGCCGCGCGCCGCCTCGTCCTCCAGCCGCTGCAGGAGGAAGCGCAGCGTCTCCACGCGCTCCGCGGACGCCTCCCCGCGGCACAGGGCCGCCAACAGGGCCCGGGGGTCGCGGCTCTGCGAGAGCAGCGCCTCCGCCAGCACCGCCTCCATCTGCCACGCGCGCACCGCCGCCACCCGGCTCCCACATAGAGGCGCCGGCGTGCGCGAGCGCGTGCGCACAGGCCGGGCCCGGCGTGCGTGCGTGCGCGTGCACCTGCCGGGCGGGCGCGCACCCGCAGGGAGGGGGCTTGCGGCCTGTCTGGGTCCAGGCAGCCCTCCGCGGACTCCTCCCCCCGGCTCTGCCTGGAACCTACCTGGTCTGCCCCGCCCCTGACGCTTACTATTTTTAGGAAGGAAGGAGGCTCTTGTTAAACGTTAATGCAGTGTCTACACTAACTGCATCAATTCCCGATTGGAGATTGGCCTGTCTGTGAGCACAGAGCCTAAGTTCACAAAGAAGGTGCACATCACAGTCACCTAGGAGCTCATTTTCAAAAAGATGCGTGCTGGGCACCACTCACACACAGTAGGTCTAAAATGGATTCTGGACATCTGCGTTAAAAATTCATAATGAAAACGCAAGAATGTTTAGAGGCAAGGCCAGAGATGCTATAGCAGTGTGATTAGGATACAGCTGAAAACACACCATTGGCCCTCACAGCTGAATGCCCAGGCTGACTGTAGGATCAAAACTTAACACAATGCATGTGTTCCCACGTGCAAACTCAAGAACAGTCTGTGTGTCTCTATTTCCTGTATTTCTGACAGCATCTACAGCTAAATATGGAAATAGAAAACCTCACCTCACCATGCATGGTGCTGGTTTGGTTCCTGGCTCAATCCTAGACAAACTGAATCAGTGACATTGATTTCCTTTGCCTTCTAACCACTAAGATCTGTCCCTTAGTGGAGAAGACACAATCCTATCTTCAAAGAGCTTGAAATAAACACAATGGGTAAGATAAAAATTAAAGTTATTTAAACTTAAAGTTACTTTTATATAATTTAGAGATATTTAAATCTAAAGTTATCTGACTTAAAGTTGTTATCTGATTGGTATTACCCTAGTGAGAAAATGAGGAAGGTCTAAAACTAAGGTATTAGTGGGACACAGAGAGGAGGGGCCACTACAAGAGAGATCTGGAAAGTTGCATGGATAGATTTGAGGAGTGATTCTAGAGGGGAATCAAGGATGAGAGTGGGAAGGCTCTTTGCTCCCAGGCTTTTGATTTAGGCAATTTGGGAATGATTCCACTAAATAGGGAACTTCTGGGGAAAAGTGCATTGGTGGGGAGGAATGATAGCAGAGGAAGGGATCGAGGGAATGAGGATGATGCGGTTAGATTTGTAAAAGTAAAGACTGAGAGCCGGGCATGGTGGCGCATGCCTGTAGTCCCAGCAACTCGGGAGGCTGAGGCAGGAGGATCGCTTGAGCGCAGGAGTTTGAGGTTGCTGTGAGCCAGGCTGATGCCACGGCACTCACTCTAGCCTGGGCAACAAAGCGAAACTCTGTCTCAAAAAAAAAAAAAAAAAAAAGTAAAGACTGAGAATGATGCTCTGATACTACCTGGCCCATGCAGTATGTGGTCCATATTGCTCCCAGGATGATCTTCCTAAAATTAAACCATCAGCTATCCATGGCTGTCAGAATAATGTTTGAATTTTCTTAGCATGCCCTCCAAGATGCCTCATGATGGGGCTCCTGAGCTTGCTTCTCCAGCCTCACCCTCCTGACAAGCCCCATATACACCTTAATTTTGAAGTCCCTAAGACATGCGGTGTGCTCTCACTTTTATCTTTACAAAAGCCCTTCCCTCTTCTGGAAAGCCCTTACCCCTTCTCCACCTGCCTAGTTTTTTCTTTTCAAGACACAGTTCAAATGTCATCTCTCCAGCAAGTCACTTCTTAATACCTCTCTCCCACCACCAACACCCTAGCTAAGATAGATGACCCTCTTCTAAATTCCTCAAACACCCTGACATATCACCAACACAGCAATTGTCACCCAATATTGTAATTGCGGAGACTTCTTTGCCCTCTCCTTCCCTTCACTGCCCCCTTCCCCTCCTCCTGAGCAATTTGAGGGCTGGGCAGGGGCTATGGGGTTGTGTGTGTTATTACACTACTGCCAGGACCTGCACCTCTAACTATATCACACTCAGGAAATGCTTATTGAGTGAACAGCTGTCTCCTACTCATCCATGAAGACTCAAATTACAAGGTATCTCTCTAAGAAGCCATTCCCAATGCCCTTAGTCATAACTTACTTTTAATTGTGGTAACAATTATGGCTAATAGTTACTCATCACACTTATGGAAAACCAAACATGGTAATCTCTATATATATATTGTTGCATTTTTATCCTCAAAACAACTCATAAAAGCAGTGGTATTACTTTTCTCATTTTACAGATGAAGAAACTGAAGATGGAAGAGGTTAAATGACTTGCCTTGATAAAAAGGCATGATGCTAGGCACAGTGGCTCGCTCCTGTAATCCCAGCACTCTGGAAGGCTAAGGCGGGATGATCACTTGAGGCCAGGAGTTTGAGACCAGCCTGGGCAACACAGCGAGACCTCATCTCTACAAAAAATTTTAAAAATTAGCTGGGCATCGTGGTGCATGCCTGTAGTCCAAGCTACTTGGGAGGCTAAGGAAGGAGAATCACTTGAGCCCAGGAGTTCAAGGTCACAGTGAGCTATGAGTGTGCCACTGCACTCCACATTCTAGTGACAGAGTGAGACCCTGTCTCTAAAAAACAAACCCCAAACCAAAAAACATGGAAAAAAATCAGCAGAGCTGTCTAACTCAAAGGCTATGCACTCTGCTATGTTACTGCTACATTACCTCCAAAACAGCAAGAAAGAAAAATATATAATTGCTATGTCCAGTTTACTTCCTGTAGATCTCTGTACTCCCAGTGTCTAGCACACAATTGGCACTCAGTAAATGACTGTTGAATGAATGGATGGATATGTAGTTTCTGCAACAGCTTATGAGCTCCTAAAGAGTTGAGACTGTGGTATAATTTTTTTTAGCTCCTACATATCAAACAGAGTACCAGAAGCGTGATAGTTCCTCAATGAGTATTTGAAATTGGATAAAAAGTCAGTATTTTATAGTGTTCTAAGTTGATTAGCCAGAAAATGTCTAGTGGCACGATTACCCTTCAAACATGAGCGTTTGCAACCTGAAGTCCTTGTGGCCTGGCTCAACATGAAGCGACATGCTACTTTGATAGAGGAGACCCAGTGCGAGAACAGCTAGCTCCCTGTCCCCACTGAGATAAATAGTTGCAATGGAAGTGATACGTGAATAGGGTTTAGAATAGTTTTCTTCCTTCACATCTCCCTGCCATTTTCCTGCTTCATCCGTAGACAAATTAGAGTTGTGACTAGCTATAATTTTATCATCAAAAACAGATGCCAGCAGTATGGACAAGTTTCAGAGTTTTTCTCTCTTTAAAGTAGTAAAGTTTAGCTACTTTACTCCAACTTATGGCTCCTTTATACCAAAAGTCTGCCACATCTTCAGTTTCCTGAGTTGACAAATATGTACAGTTTTAAGAAAGGGGGCCGGGCGTGGTAGCTCATGCCTATAATTCTAGCCATTTGAGATGCTGAGGTGGGAGGATAGCTTGAGACCACGAGTTCAAGACCCACCTGGGCGAGACCCTGCCTCTATAAATAAATAAATAGATAGATAATAAATAAATAAGAAAAATTAGTTGGGCGTGGTGGCATACACCTGTAGTCCACGCTACTCAGGAAGCTGAGGCAGGATTATTGCTTGAGCCCAGGAGTTCGTTTGAGGCTGCAGTGAGCTATGGTGGTGCCACTGCACTCCAGCCTAGGAAACAGGGTGAGATTCTGTTTCAAAAATAAATAAATAAATAGATAAAAATTAGAAAAGAACAACGCAGTGCTCATGCTTTTGTTGTCGTGGAGGTGAGTGTCCAGCAGTGGCCTCAGAGGAGTCCTTTTCTGGCCTGGGCTTGTCCCTCCCCCTCTGGCTCCCACAGCTAGATAACCATCATTCTTGGGCTCTGATGGCGCTGGTTCCAACAAACTTTAAATGTATGGGTATTAGTTGTCTACGCCTTATGTTTTAAATCTTTCTGTGAGATGTCTACAGATGGAGATCCCTGATTCCCTTCTGATCTGAAGTGGCGCGCCTATAGGTGTGATTGTTCCCACGCTCCTGTGACTCTTAATTCTGACTCTTCTCACTTTCCCAACTTGAAATGGATACTGTTTTCCTCTTCATAAGGGTAATGGAGAGCAAGAGTGAATGGGAAAGAGAAAGCATGAGTTAGGGAAAGTGATCCAGTTAGATGTTCTCTCAAAGGTCTCCTTCCTTTAGGAGTGTTTGCGTGAACTTGCTGTTTGTGATTGTCAAGGCACACCGCAGGTGCTTAACTTGGTCTTTTCTAGTGTCACCAGGGAAGCAGCAGGCAAGGGCACCACAGTATAGGACTAAATAATGAATGATGAGAATGTTGACCTGAAATAGCTACACAGGGCCCAAAATCCACTAAAAAGGTTCTTCTTAAATGTGTGCATATCGCGTGCACTCATGTTCCGGAATGCACGGGTGGTTGCATAACCAAAAACTAAGATCTGTTTAGAGTTGATGTTTCTCTGGACAGAAGATGGTGCTATTGTCAATGCAGTGTGCTTTTTCCATCCTTTTGACTTAATGCTCAAAGCTGCAAAGTGGAAAACAAGTATAGAAAGAAAGAAAATACCAATTACATAGCAAGACTTCTGCTAGAGTCTTCAGCTGTTTACCTCCAAGGGTCTAAAAATGGCTGAGAGCTGCTTGATAGGCTCTGTCTGAAATTTTTGCCTTGTGTTGTCTCCCCTAAAAGCCCTTAGAGAATCTCCACGGAGAAAATTGCTGCAGCATAATCACTAATAGGTTTATTGTAAGGGCAACGTCTAGAAAATTCAAATTCCCAGTGGGGATCTGTGGCAGATACCATTAGTTATTAACCCAACAACCCTCTCTCCTTCTCCCTTGCTGATAAACCCTGACTTTGCTCAGGATGACAGCATGTTAACCCCTGGGCAATGGCTCGTGCTTAGGCAGCCAATAGGGGAGACTTGTTCCTTGCTTGCCTGATGGTCCTTAC